ACAAGTCCTCCTGTTCTTCTTTTTGCGGATACAGACTAACACGGCTGCTACTCTGAAACCTTATTTAGGAATGCTCATTTTCTCTGCCCAGGCCTGCTGCGCGGCTAGTGTGTGCGGGGAACCTGCAAACGTTGCCTTGGGATGCATTTCAGAGGAAGGTACTGTGGACCTGACTGATGCTCTATCTTCCCCTGTCTTGTTGTTGAGAAAGACTGTCCGATCTCCCTTCCTTAGTTCATTGCACACGTGGGTACTGAACGTTTCCACTCACAGGATACGATCAGATAACAGTTCAAACAGGGACAGCAGACAGCTCACTGGGTAGCTTGAGGCTAGTCCCAGTCCCAGACCTGTGTAGAACCCAGCGGTGGGGCGCTTACCTTCAGCCTCATTCTGCAGGGAAACCTCGTCCTCTTCACTGTAGCGTTCATGTGGAGCTGAAACCAAGAACACAGCCCTGAGCCAGAGTGTGGTGACCTGTCGCCGCACCGCGTGTTACCTGCGCTATTGCAGCCTTCGCGTAAAGAACGAGTCTCAGAATTCAGTGTCAAATACTTACCTCCATGCTCACGCTCCAGCAGGACATCCGTCTCTGCACCGTGCTGGTCATGTGGAGCTGAAACCAAGAACACAAATCTGAGCAATAGTGTGGTGACCCGTTGCTGCACAGTGTGTAACATGCGCTATTGCAGCCTTCATGTGACGGAGTCACAGAATTCAGCTCTGGGGTATTTACCATTGCAGTCTGTCTGCAGGCGAACCTCATCTTCTGCACTGTAGCATACAGGAGTATCTGAAATTAAGAGCATAACCCTGAGCCAGAACATGGTAACCCATTATCGTATGGTACAGTCAGACTGTGTTACACGCTTCCTGCAAAGAATGCTTCACAGCTCATCACTTGTGTTTGCCTAACTGCAGACTCTGTAGGTTACAATATTTCCTACAGGTAGCATCTGATTGCAGATCGTGCCCACTCTTGGCCCCGTGAAGTGACTGTCTCAGGGAAATTACCTGACTGACTATCCTAGAAGTATGAGGTATCGAAACCTGCCAGCAACTCCTCTGATGGACTCATTGAGGGATTGGTCCCCAGTGCGTTCACCTGGCTGCAGTGGGAAGCCTCTGAGTATCTTCTGGAAAAGAGCAGGTGGATTCCCTGCTCGCTAGTTCCCAGTGTTCCCTTTCCAGACCGATGGATGGGTCATGTACCAGAAGAAGACTTTGTCCTTATTGGTAAATTTGTCTAACAGCAGATCCATTAGTCTGAATCCTCTCGCCCTCCCCTCTTTGTAGACACATTATTAATTCCAACCCTCACAACTATCTCCTGGGCGGGTGATGTTTACGGGAGGGGAACATTTGGGTGCCCCACCTGCTCATCACTGGGCTGCCTACTCAGTGGTTCGTTATCCAGACAAATGGATCCCCTGGGAAGAAGAAGAAAAACGTAGCATGGACTAGTTCTCCACAGCTGTTACCTTTCTGAGAGCTCCGTCTTCTTCTCCGGTACATATAGACTCCAACACCTACCACAACCGTTACTACCACGCCTACGATGGCAAAAATCCAAGCGTTGCTGCGGCCAGAGCTCTCCGCCGCAGTCTTGTTCTCCCTCACCAAGGCTGCGTTTGGAGAGGTTAAAGGTAAGCTGTGGAGGGCTCAGGATACAGACTGTGATCAAATACTAGGCATGTGGGATCATTTCGCAATGGTACTGAAAAGACTTTGAGGACTGGATCTCCTGCCAGTGCATAGTCATTCAGGCCTGGCCTACGCTTCAAATTTAGTCAACGCAGCTTCGGCACTCGGGTGTGAAAATGCACAGCCCTGAGCGCTGCCGCTATGCCGAGCTAGCCCCCGGTGTAGATGCTGCTGGGCTGACAGATGAATGTGTCCCTCAACCTGGCTACCGTCGCTCAGGGAGGTGGCGCTCCACCAGTGACAGAAAACCCCTTCCATCGGCACAGGCTGTATCTGCACGACAGGGTTATTCTGACAGAGCTCCAGCACCCTGGCGATGTCACTAGTCCCCGTAGCATAGACATGGCCTCAGACAGCGGCAGGTGGGGAGTCTCCCGGGGAAGAGAGGACTCTATCACTCACCAGAATGAGCATGGAGTCCCTAGCCCGCATGGGAGAGGGAATGGCCCCATATGGTGTCAAAGTGTAAAAACACCTCTTTTCCCAGCAAGCCAGCCTTGATTCCTGGCAGCATCAGCTCAGCCCATCACAGAGAAAAACGGAGTCCCAGGAGCTCACTGCATCCTGGTTTTTCCTTCCGGACACAGCCTGCAAACCGCAACGTGCTGTTTGCTGTGGGCCGAGGTTAAAGTTCCTGCCACAACCTCCCCCTGGCAACTTTCAGACAAGCCACAGTTTGATCCTGTGCCCAAATGAAACCCTTCCCTGCCTTCCACCCCAGAGGTGGCTGCATGTCTGCGGTGCCCTGTCTACCCTGTGTATCAGGGAGGGTGCACCCCAGCGCTGGCCGAGGCTTGTCACTGTTACCTGTAACTCTCTCACAGACGCTCAGGTTCTGATTAAAGGGGGCGTGGATCAGAGAGCAGCAGAAGGTGCTGTCCTCAGGGCCGGTCACCACCAGGCGGCTCTGCACCTCGAACACTCCCTCACTGCCCCGACGAAGTTCTGCCGGCTCCGACTGGTTCAGCCTGTTTCTGTTCCCATCGTGCCATGTTATTTCAGCCTTGGGATAGCCCCCCCTGGACTTGCACTGCAGGGTCATCTCGCCCTCCTCCCA